ACAGTGAATAAGCTGTGAGGGGAGGCCAAATGTTTTCTTCCAAAATTGGAATTAGCAAAGCCAAGCCAGTTGGAGGTATGTTGCCTTTTCCCTTTTCTCATTGTCCCACCAATCGTTTCTTGTAATTCTATTAGCAGTCAGGGAAGCTGCATGCCACTTTGGCCTCTTGTTTAGAGTACAAGGGTTGATAATCTAATTCCTCCCTATTTCCTTTTGAATTTGCAGTTGCACTTTTAGAAAGACACTTCCCCCAAAGGAGATTGTGGTAGATATGTATACTGCACTATGTGTCCTCAAGTGCAATCTTCCTACTTCTCAGCTAAAATTCCCTGTTTGGGAAATGTAATAATCCAAATTGAATACCATTTTAGGATTTTTTTGTACTTTGATGCTTGATTGTCATTATTCTATAATTTTAAAATGCTTGTCCCTAATTTAGTTTTTAGAATAGAATAGAATAGAATAGAATAGAATAGAATAGAGCAGAGCAGAGCAGAGCAGAGCACAACAGAACAGAATAGAATTCTTTATTGGCCAAGTGTGATTGGACACACAAGGAATTTGTCGGTGCAAATACTCTGAGAGTACATAAAAAAAAGTTACGTCAAGAGTCAAGTATCATAAGGTACAACACTTAATGATAGTCATAGGGTACAATAAGCAATCAAATCATACCAGGAAACAGTCAATATAAATCGTAAGGATACAGGCAACCAAGTTACAGTCATACAAGTGGGAGGGGATGGGTGATAAGGAGTGATGAAAAGATTAATAGTAATAGTAGTGCAGACTTTGTAAATAGTTGGACAGTGTTGAGGGAATTATTTGTGTAGCAGAGTGATGGCTTTCGGTGGAAAAACTGTCCTTGTGTCTAGTTGTTCTGGTGTGCAGTCCTCTATAGGGTTGTTTTGAGGGTAGCAGTTGAAACAGTTTATGTCCGGGATGTGAGGGGTCTGTAAATATTTTCACAGCCCTCTTTTGGACTCATGCAGTATTCAGGTTCTCGATTGAAGGCAGGTTGGTAGTAATTGCTTTTTCTGCAGTCCTAATTACTCTCTGGAGTCTGTGTCTGTCCTGTTGGGTTGCAGCACCAAACCAGACAGCTATAGAGGTGCAGATGACAGACTCAATAATTCCTCTGTAGAACTGTATCAGCAGCTCCTTGGGCAGTTTGAGCTTTCTGAGTTGGTGCAGAAAGAACATTCTTTGTTGTGCTTTTTTATGACATTTTTGATGTTAAGTGTCCATTTTAGGTCTTGTGATATGATAGAATCTAGAAATTTGAAGGTCTCTACTGTTGATACTGTGTTGTCTAATATTGTAAGAGATGGTAGTATGGGAGGATTTCTCCTAAAGTCTACTACTATATCTATGGTTTTGAGTGGGTTCAGTTCCAGATTGTTCTGGTTACACCACGAGGCAAGTTGTACAACTTCCCATCTTTTTAAATCTAGTGTTAATTAATGTTGTATTTATTGGTGATATTATATTATACACTGCCCAGAGTCCCTCTTTGGGGAGATGGGTGGTTTAGATTTATGAACTATAAATAAACAAATATAAGATTTGTGATGCAAAATGCCTTGAGGCACCAGATAGTGGGAGGCCAATAGACAAACAGAGATATCCACTCTCACAAATGACTCCCTCAATTAAATAATTAAATTACAGTAGCTGCTTCCCACTTTTTTTAGTATGAGGAACTCCAGGATACCGCTGGAAGGCACAATGATGATGTTCGTAATGCCAAGCATGAGATTTCAGAACTTAACCGACATGTCCAGAAACTGAAGGCTGAAATTGAAGGTGTGAAAAAGCAGGTAGGTTACTGCGTTTTCCCAAAGTTATGATCATACAGT